AAGCGACCGCAGAGCACTTACCTAGACCACAAGTATTTGCGAACTGTATGCTGTTACCACCGACACCAGCATAGGCGTCAATAACAAGATCCGTAGCACAAACCTGTGCTTGACGCCGTGCGATACACTCCGGTGTGACGCTGAACCAAGCCTCTGCTCAAAAACAAATTACGAACAGCGGGAAAGAGAAAGATTAAAACATAACTTGGATGCTCAAAATAATTTCGAGGACATATTATTGTGGTAATCGGAATAGTGTTGAGCATAGGAATACGAGAACCTGTACTGTAATACTCAGAACTGGATTGGTTCCGACCAGGACCACGGACAGCAACGAAATACACGGAGAATTGGTAGCAGTAAGTGCCAATATTCTAAGAAATAGAGAATGTTTTATAGAAAGCAACTGGCCATATCATTGGTTGAAGGATCATCGTCCAATCACGTAACCGTTTGCGCAGACGCAACGCATTTATCCACTCTGATGCAATGTTCGCCCAGCGTACAATAAGTCCAGCTTTCGGAACTTTGATTGGATGACATGAGACTGTATCTGGTCGTACTTGGAATGCGGTCAGGTATGTTTAGATCTTACTTTCACTCTACTGCGGCTGGCTCCTTGGAAAGGATAATCCGACTCCAGACATGATCATGGAGTTCCTTGGGATTTTGGTACGAGAGACGTCCCCAGCATCACTCGGCGTTTTTTTTTATTTTGAGGGCACACCTCCAGCCTTTGCACAACCGAGTGCGAACTACAAGGCAGCACGAAGTAATCCCTCGCCTCGGAAGTGAGGGGGTCAATGGCTATAGTTTTAAAAGGCCAGTCATACCGNNNNCGACCTTTGTCACGATACCGTCATTAGGATTATGCGGCTTTTAAACAGGAGCCCGGTGACCAGCCTGAAACCCACCACACCCTGGTAGTGCCGCCGCTCTTTGTTCACGACTGCTTATTTATTGTGGTATGCCACAACTTATGGACAGTTAACCTTCTTTGGTGAAGATATCCCCTATCCACAACCCGGGGACGCGTCTGGCAGCATCCAGCTCTGTTTAACCCGAGGGTATCCAGGTATGCCTGGATCACCACAATTACCCTTTATTACTTGCTTGTTGTTATTCCTTTCTACGCCAAAGCTATTTGTAATGAACTCAATAAATGATTATTACAGTCAAGTGATCTCGTGCTAAACTTTCATCTGTGAATTAAACTCTGATTACCGTGAAACTCATGCTATAAACACGAATTATTATCTCTCACGTTATCCCACGATCGTAGCAGTCTTCATTCCACGTCACGCACCGTGATTAATGTCGATGATCACAATCTACATAAACGGCGAAATAGTGCACCCTTGGCGAACGCCGCTGCTAATGACCAATGGTCTACGTAGTCCGTTATACACCCTGGACCAGTGGTACGTGATTACAGTGACCTCAGTAAGTTCACGTACTCCCGAGGCATTTCTTTCCGAAGAAAGGAACCCAATTGGAGCTTACGAGTCAACCGAAAAAAGGGCTTCTTTTAGGTCAAGGAACACTGTGATCGTTGGTCGACGGTGGATGTTGCGCAGCACAATGACCTGATGCAACGTGAAAATTTGAACAACACATCAACGACCAGACCGGAATCCGGCTTCCCGCTTACGGAAGTTAATTGCCACTCTACTCTACGGCGACTGGCTCCTGGGAGAGGATAAGCCGGTTTCATGGATATCCCGAATTGCCACTGAGAACGCTCGGCGGTCTGCAGTTCAGTTCAGACCGTACAAAAATGAACCATGCACTGGTTTTGATTGCTGTCTTTTGGCTGCCCATTTAGATAAAGAATAGGAGAACATAGGAAAGATGAGAGTAGAGCCAAACAGAAAATGGAGAATTTCAGTCGTCTAAGATTGCAAAGATATTGAGAAGATGCATGAACGCCACTGTTAACGACACTCAGCCATATAACTCAGTGTCTCTAGCAATCGCTTACGATCATCCCGAAGTCCCCACCTAGGAATCATCATCGTACAGCGAAGCGAACTTCACTGATTGCTGCTAAGCTCACAATGTACACAAATCAATTAATAAAGCACAAAATGGAGAGGGATGGAAGAGAGAGGCAAAGGGAAAAAACTTCTATGGTCAGCATACAGAGTACACATTCTAAGTGTGCATACATACCTTTTCAAGTATTCTGACCTGATAAGAAGTGACAACAAGAGCGCCACTGCTGTCGGTTAGCCACCATATCCTTCAGTGTCTCCCATCAGCCAGTTGCAGAGTCATTCGGACCCCAACCTGGAAGACGGGAGACACCGATTCTACCCAATCGCTCTGTGCATTTCTTCATGCCTCGCTTCCACGTCATCTGTTGACCACCACGTGGTTTCTTCCAACCTGGAGACGTAACTGCGAATAAGGCGTGGTGGGGCAGACGATGGCTGGACATGCGCAATACGTATCCTAACAGGCGAAGCCGACTAATCGGAATTCTCCATCGAATCATTACCAAATACGCGACGCCTAACCTCAGAGTTGCTTAAAAGCTCGCTCTATCCAACCCGAGCCAAGCTACGTAAACATCTGCAGTCAACTACTTCAAGACGACGAGTATCTTCCATGCGCAAATTTAGGGTCTCGCAACCATAGAGCAGAACTGGCCGCATACTGGCGCAGTATACACGACCTTTCAGTTTCAACGAAACATCGCGTCTACACCAAAGATGTTTCAATCCTGCGTAAGCTGCTCGAGTATTGGAAATGCGGGCGGTTACTTCATTGATTATCCTGCCGTCATTTGAAACGCAGCTACCTAAGTAGCTGAAACATTCCACGACAGCTAATTCTTGACCATCAAGCATCAGCGCTGGGGTAGACGATACCCAGTCTTGTGGCATCACTTTGCACTTTGAAGGTGCAAAGCGCATGCTAAAAGGAGATACAGAACTTGCTAGTCTGTCAAGAGCGCATTGCGCATCCTCCAGGGATTCGAACAGGTATACGATGTCATCAGCGTACTCTAAATCGCACAGCTTTTCTCCAGCTGCCCATTCAATGTCTACGTTCTTAAGACCAGTAAATGCGTTCTCCAGAACTTCGTCTACGACGAAATTGAACAGGAATGGCGAAATAGGCGAAATAGCGTTCAACGTGCCGTTTACTTATTTACTCTGAACAGGCTAGAAGATGAATCAATGAAAACCATTGTTTTGCCTCTGAATGTGTGAGCTCAGAAATGCTCCGATGAAAATTCGGTTGTGGTTATCCCTTTATGACTGAACTGTTGATGCACAGAACCGAATGCAATATCCATTACGTCCAATTTTACAGGGCTATGATAAATTGCGAAACCAGAAAGGAAGCAATTCACTTCAGACAGAAACAGGAAGAGAAATGATTAAAATTTTGTGCAAGTTTGTATCTGGTATTTACAATACACCCGATAAAAATGGGTCTCATTTATACGAACACAATATGACCTTCAATCTTGTCTGTTCTTCATTTATAAATTGGTAAAATTGAACACATTTGGCTGTCTGCTTTGGGCGTGTAAGTAATTCCTTTGTGGGTTAGGGCAAGTCACTAACGGTATCAGAGACAATCATGGTTATGTATATTCTTATTACTGTATAAGCATGCATGACGAAAAATTTAAAAAAAATAGTTATATGCACTCAAATTTATCAAACCTGGCGTTATTATGTGGAAACCGGTACGTTTTGGTTTGGTAAGTGATTCAAGTAGCTCTAATATGCATAACCTTATTTATACAGGTTGGTCATTGAGTTTTGGCGGTTGGTTTCACAAGAACGAAATTGCCTCACAGACTAAAATTATCTTTCGAGCACTTGGATGGTTTTATAAAAACTCAAAAGCTTTCTGGTATGCAAGATAAACGCTGTAGATACGTGGGATGAGGTACAACTCTAAGAGGGTGTTTATGACAACCACCAGCTCACCACCTATTCCGAGCACTCGTAGCTAATGTTGGCATGGGACGAAAAGGGAAGTTCCTGTCACTGAGTACCCAAAGCTACCACCGTTCAGTGACCGTGCTCACTCGAAAGTGATGTTTCCTGTTGGGAGAAGTTAAATGATTTACCCAGTCAACACCGGAATAATGTGTGAGCACGAATGAGATGATCACTTTGGGGACACTTTCCAAACTTCTCAATCTCTTTTCACAAATCCACATTGGAGAAATGTAAAATCGCTTACATCCAAGAATACTGTCATTGTGGTATGAGATTGTCAATTACAAGTCCACAGAATCCCAAAATGAAAAAAAGAGATTAACTGGAACAATATTCGCTAGTGCCGTTTGCTAGATGATCATGAATTATGTTCATGTTAAATATTGCATCAGAACAGATCAACCTTGGGGGGGGGGNGTTTTAAGCAGCAGCCAAGATGATCGCTGAGTAAGGTAGTTACTCGCGTAGTAACTGTGTCGGTCCGCTAGGATCAACCGTATTAATCCGGAATGCGAATACGTGTCTATTTGTTTCAGTCGTTAAGGTCAATTACGGCAATCGATCATTATATGTATATCACATTTCACACGCATCTGAATTCAGACAATGGTTGCGAAAACATCACCGTACGATAATCTTTATCACAGAAATTGTCGCGTGATTTGCTCGTGGGTTTACCAGAATTCACAACTTACCCACAAGACAGTAGGATGGCTTGTTTTAATTCCCGGAATATATCAGCGATACACATTAGATGAAAAAAGCGAAAAAAGCTTTTTTTCGGTGACTCATCAACTGGCTAATACGTCACATTTTATATCACATCATTTTGTATGGAAAAGAGAAAACAAAACTACTGATTATTCTAATGGGGATTGTTGTTATTGTTTTCTGTCCCGATTTCACAAAACCAGATGTGGCTGATCCTGACATCGGAACATAAGCTTGGTCCGTGTTACTTGTGTGATTTCGGGGGGTGGGATTGGGTGAGGAAGATGAGGATGGGAGGTGGAGGGCCAAGGGAGGGTAAGAGTGACTTCACAAACTGTTTTTTTGGGCGCATAAGGGAGGATTATGTAGACGAATTCCTATCATTCATTCGTGATGTTTTCCTACAAAATGGCTATCCAGAACGTTTTATGGATAACGTTTTACGAAATAATCGTCTGGGGGAAAGACTTTTGAGTGCAGAGATGAAAGCAGTATACATTTCTCTCCTATTTAAAGGGGATGCAATCGCAGAATTGGTTAGCTGCAAACTAGGAACTGTGTTGGAGAATACTTTTCATGCGGCAAAATTACATATCGTATACACTTGCAGACCGATTTTGTGTTCGTAACTCAAAAACAGGATTCCTTCTTCTGCAGTCTCATTTTGTGTGTACCAATTTACCTGTTCCTGTGGAGCACGAGCAGGTGCCTATCTACACGTGTTCGGGTACATCATCCGGCCTGGCTAAACACTGGTGTGATTAAAACTATTATAAGTGCCATCGTTTCACACCTCGTCAAGTCCGATCACACAGTGAGTGTGACTGAAGGATTTCGGCCTCTCTACTGTGTTCCAGATCGCAGATTAAAACCGATTGAAAATCCCATCCTAGCCACCGCAGAGGCGGTTGGAATTCGTCTACATAATCCCCCTTGTGCGCCCAAAAACAGTGGAATGGCGTGTGAGGAACACAATTTATTTGCGGTTGGTATCCATTTTGTTTAATCATGTATCCTTAGGAGGGATCAAAAGTTCAAGGCGTCAGCACACCTTGATGTCCAGGTAAACTCGTGGCAACAACCACAACCAAAAAGGTTTAGGTGTTTGTGGTTTATGCCCCTTTTCATAACTGGCTTGGAATCAACTATCCTATATCAGCTGCCAGTTATTCACCGACCCGGTTATTTTGATTTTTTGGTGGGAAAATACCTCTCCGGTATGTGAATACAATAGGTAAGGTTTTTCCAAAAGAAACTTTCTGCTAAGCCCCTAAATACTGAGGAGCATTACCTGGAGTTCAAGGTAAGAATGACCGGTGCTGATCCAACACACCAAACCAGGACCACAGTGAAGTGCTCGGAGGTGTAGGTGACCAGGTAAACCAATTTGCAAGGTCATACACATTTCGTGATCTGGAGGTAGGTTAATCGGGCTGAACTGTTAGTAACCACTTCTATCCAAAATACCTGTAATAAGAGTTCAAATAATTCTACTACTCACTCACGTCAGATGGTATGTTACTGAATGGTAGCCCATCCTATAGCATTCGCCAATATAAATAGGTTTGTTGCCCTGTATTTTATATGTTCACACGGTATACATCGCTTAAATTAATTACAATCAGCCCTGTTCTAGTTCAGTGACTTGTTTTTGTGCCAAATTCAGCGGAATAAAGATGTAAAAAACGAGGTGTATTTGCTCCCTTCCTCCTATTCTTGAAGTCCTTTCGTGAAAAAAATTAAAATTAGCTTATTGTTGCACTATAATCTTTTCAGACCTCCTCATATGCAAACGAAATCATCGATATTTAGAATTATTTTTACACCAATCTTGCGTTGATCGCGCAAACCGGACACTCTATTTTCTTCTTTTTTCGTGTATCATATTAAATCACATTGAAATGACGAATTGTATGAAGTTTGAAAGAGAAAACCCTGATCAAACAAGCCAAGATTGCTGCTCCACACATACACACACCTATGGGAAATTCTCAATTGTTTATATATAAATATTATCCGGAAAAAATCGTACATTATGGCTTAACTCTACTAGTAGCGGATGTGTGAAGTTGTACAAATGTTAATCTTTATAAGAAAACACAAAGTAGCTAACAGGATTGTCTGGGGTCATTCCTCTACAGACCAATATATCAGATTTTATACCAAACTGTTTAGAAGGAGGGAGAAATCATGACAAGTTGCCAAAGAGAAGATAATCAACATTCCAGTTTCATGACCGGATGTATCTCACACTTTGGTCCTCACAAATGCGCATTGATTCGGGTCATTGGGGGCGGTTGGAAGGATGGCTGTGTTGTGTGTGTTGTTGACTACGGAAG